GAATTCCCTCACAAGGGAATAATACATGGTGTTACATTAACTCCACTGCCACTCTATACTATGTCATTTATATTACGTGACATGAGTTACGTTTTATATGATGTAAATTAATTACAGTCAAATATTTTTTTAGTAAAAAGATTTGCATGGTATTTTCTTTTAAGAAAAGGTATGTATAAAGTAGAATAATAACACAAAACAAAATTACACATAACTATATATATTTATTATACAAAATTACAGTATACATAATATAATTAAATATTATAATACACGTAGGTCTCTTACATTTCTAAATTTGCATATAGGTGCTGATTCTTCCCTTGTCACAACAAGAGAGAATGCTTTATGTATGGCTATTTATTATTTTCTTAATAATCCAGTTGACGATGACTTTTCTTGCCTTGAAATAATTGCAGACACTAGTTGGTTATTACGAAAACTTAATTTATTTTACCAACATATTTGGTATTTTAAACTAGCGAATGTCGAGACTTGTTTATATGATCATGCTTGACTCGAAACTAGGAAATGACGTTTACTATTGTCGGAAATAGCAAGAACAAGTCTGTCATATGGATTATTAAGCGCATGCCTTAATAATAGTTCGCGATTTCATAATTTTAATGAAAACAAAATTTTTACAACATCATTGTCAATTCTGTTAATTCGTTAAAATTAAATAATAGAACAAATTTTCGTCATGTATTGCGTAAAAAACAATTTTTTACAAATTTAAGTAGGAAAAGTACAAGTTACCGTTGATACTGTAATATTGAATGCAAGATTTGTACAACTTTTAATTACTAATTGTTAAAATTAATTACTAGAAAGTACAATATTCAATAAAACATCTTTTTGGTCGAAATCTTTTAGCTACACTTATGAACAAATTCAGTTCATATAAATTTACGCGGAAATAAAGACACTTGAAATTTATAAATGATAAGGACTAAAAATAAAAAAATATCTCTATATTATGCTAATAGTAATATTTTATAGCAATATATTATAGTAATAGTAATCACAACGTATTCTTCAAGATTTAATTTTTTGCTATTCAAGTAAAGTTCTATTATACACAGTATTACAAATTTAAAGTAATCCTTCCATTTCTTGCATAAATTGCATATATGCATCATCTTTTGTTTTAGGTTGAGTAGTTCGCATTGGTTGCGTTTCTGGTATCCTTTCTGAAAGTCTTGACAAAATACTTGGTTTCCTTTTATCATCCCTTTTCACACGATGAGAGATAGGTAAAAATCTTGTAACATCAGCTGCTAAATTCCTAATTTGTGGTTTTGCTTCGATAGTTGTAGTGCTTTTACCGTCTTTATCTTTTCGATTAATTAATTGTGGTGCAGCAGAAAGTACATTAGGTGTTTTAGGTTGTGATCCTGTTGCAGATTGTGTCTGCATTTGAGGATTTCCTATATTTGTCATATTTGATAGATTTGGCATTTGCATTTGTGGAGGAGGCATTCTTGGCATACTTGGTGGACCAGGTCTCAACATCCTTGGCATTCCTGGTGGTGGGCCTATAATCACAAACAAAGTAATGATTATCAATTTATTCATTACCATTTATTCATTATTTATTACAATATTTATATTGACAAATCATTAATTTACCAGGAGGTAATCGAAGTCCAATACGGGGCAGTGGGGGCGGCGGCAATCCCATAGGTGGCATTGTGTGTTTATTATTACATTTTGAATTAGATTCGTTTTTTGCTTCCAGTAGTGACAATCGTGCATTTAAATCTTCAGCTCGTTCAATTTCACGCCTTTTATGAACAACAGCAGCTGATGGTAATGGAATTTCATCAACTTGTACTTGTTGTGCATGTCGTACAGCTTCAAAATATGAAACAAGATCTATTCTTCTACGTTCATATTGTATTAACTGTCTTTTTTAACTCTGCCCACATTTCCTGATCATCCTCTGCATACATTTTCAAGATACGATCCAAGGTCTCCTTCAATTTCTTTCTTTTGTCTTTCAGCACTTTCTCATTAAGCGGTGGTGGCTGCATAACATTATATTCCATTTGATCTATTTTTTCCATTTCTTCGATAATCTGAGCCAGATCTTTGCCCTTTAGAACGGCAGCGCGTACTAACTGCCTTTGTTTTTTAGTTTTCTTTAATTCTTTTTTACGTGCCTCTTTACCTGTAACAAATTTGTTATAATAAGTTATAATAATTATAAATAAGTTATAATAATTATTAAATTTATGATTTTTAAGTAAATTTCTTTGCTATGTTATCAACTTACGTGCTTGATTAGTAGTATTCATATATTCTCCACTTTTTGTGGTATTTATCGGACGGCATCCCATGTTTTCTCACTTAAGAAAACTGTTTACGACGTAAATTTATATTGTATTTTCACAATTTTTATATTAAATAAATTAATATTTATATTTATCGTAACTACGGGTACGCCGAAGATACTCGGTATACTGCAGGATGTGTACTGAACAGCTGCAGCTGTGCAACGAAATGGAGACGTAAGTAACTGTAAATCGTTGTGTACGCCCTCTACATGAACGCTACATGAACTAACTAGCGCCAAATTCAAATTGTAAACTAGCGTAGTCGAAACAATGAACAGAGAGATTTTACCTATGTAAATATTGATTAATTGTCAAATTATCTATCAGTGATAATTATAATCATTTTCTAATTGGTTTTTCCGTCCCTTTTATTAAAAGTTCTTCTTGCCGAGGATTCGAACTCTTCGTCCTCTTTTGATATAGCAGATGAATCCATAGATTGAACTGATTTTCCATCTGATTCAGCATCAGTACGTGCTTTCATAGATGCTGCCGTCATTTTTTCAATGCATTTTCAGCAGCATTTTGACAAGCAAGAGCTTACCATCAAGCTATTTTTAATAAAAAAAATCATTTTAGGATTTTAGTATTTATAATGTATAAACACACATAAGTATGTGTGTGTGTGTGTGTGTGTGTGTACACTAAATTATTCTAAATACCTCTGCATGAACGAGATACAGGGAGTTTGGCATAGGTCCTTGAGTTTCAGGAAATGTGAACTGGACTCCAGGTTTCATTTCATTTAGTACCATAATTGCATTCTTGGGTTGCAATGTCTTTCGTAGACGTTGATTCAAACGAAGTCGTTTCAGTCTTTTATTTACTCTAACTGAAGGTATAAACTTTATGTAATTTATTAAACAAGAGTATATTTTATTAATTTTTTCCATATATATATATCAGTATATCAATATTCACAATGATTATAAATATGCAATAGCTCAATAGTAATCTATCAGAGCACATAGCAATAGTTTCAATCTTCAAATTTGCGCAGTGGATTATCATCATTATGTATATAATGTTTCTATATTTAGATAATTTATGCAATATAAATTTCAAAACTATTTCAAATGTAGTTAAAAAATACGTTTTAAATAAACTTAGAAAAAAACAGAAATAAAAATTGCTTCTTAATGATTATTTTAAATACTTACATCCGGGTGCTTTACGCCTCCATCTTGGAAGTTGTTCTTCTATTTTAGTATCTGTATCTTCACTCATTTGATTTTCATTCTTTACTTCAGATGTGCTATTGTTGTTAGGAGGTGTAGGATTAGAGTTAGTTGTTAAGGGAGATGTTGGAGTAGAAACTAATGTTTGAGAAGATGAAACAGGATTATTTTGCATAGCAATTGCACTTTGTTGCTGATTATGAAGAGGTAGTTTTAAAATTGGTTTCAACCGTTGTATTTGAGGTTGAAATTGTGATTGTGATTGTGTTTGAGGCTGTGGTTGAGATTGTTGTTGGGACTGTGATTGAGGCTGTGGTTGAACTTGGCTTTGAGAAGAATTGGCAATGGATTGTTGTGGTTGTTTAATTTGCTGTGGCAATTGTTGTTGCTGTTGTGGTTTCCCTTGCTGTAAATTCTTTGCTGCTACTTGTTGCATTTGTGGTTGCTGAGATTTGCTATGTTGCAAATTCCTTGCTGCTACTTGTTGCATTTGTGGTTGTTGTTGCTGCTGCTGTGGTTTAAATGGTTGTGCATTTTGTGAACTTCCTTGTTTGTAATTACTTTGTTGATTTGGAGGAGGTTGTGTTGCTTGAAAACTGGCTTGCTGATTGTACTGCAAAACATAGGGTGGGTCGCCGCTACACAAGGAACCTGTACGGTTGTGCTATCCCACCAAGGTCTAGCATCGCATATGCACTTGAAAGCAGTCTAATGCTACTCCCATAACTCATACCAGCCAAATTATTTCTGTGGCCTATATTTCCTTATGTATAACTGAACTGAGTTTACATAAAATAGAAAATAGAAAAAAGGAGAGTAAGAAGAAGAATAAAGATTTTCAAGCCTAAGTAAAAGTTTCATTACTATATGCTTTCTATCAATAATAAATATAATTTTGTAACATGTTGTGTATAAAATTTGCTCATGTTTATGAAAACAAACACTTAAGCTAATAGTGAAATAAAATTTAATAAATAATGAAGATTTAAACAAACAGAAAACTTACATGCGCCATTTTTATATTTTGTAACTATTAAATCATAATATTTCAGAGAAACCTACATATGTAGTACCAAGACAAGTTTATTTTTAGTTTGTACCTAAAGCGTAATTACTAATAGTGACAAACAGTTTAGCCTAAAATGTTATGTAAACATCAGTTCAGTATGTTATTAAAAATATGGCCTATGGCAAGCTACGCTATGGGGGTAACTGACGAACTAGCCCCTGGCTGAATAGACCTCCTCGGTATTGTTGTATAGCTACTAGTTCCTGCATTGCAGGGGAGGGGAAAGTAGGGACCACTAATTAGTACATGCAAATGGATGAAATATTGAAAACAACAAATGGAAATATTGAAAACAATAATCACACATTCTAATTATGATGAATTCAAAATATTTCACACACACACACACGCGCGCGCGCGCGCACACACACATACACACAAAATTTCTTTCCTCTTATATTAATATGACATAAAATAAGAAAATAATATGCTGTATAAATGTTGTTATTTGTTATGAAAGATAATGATCTTAATAATATTTGTAAAAAAGTAGATTAGAAAAAGAGTAATTTAAAAATATTCAATTTAAAAAAGAATTTAAATTTTACATGTTAATATATATTATTTTGGACAAAAACAGGATGATTCATTTGAATTAACCAATTTCGCTTTTATTTTTATTTTATTGTTACTTGTATTATTATTTAGATTTCATAACTCTATTCATAGTATGATCGAACAAAATTATCAGATACTGAGTATATTAAAAAGTACTAAATGTATTTATTTTAAGTATCAAAAGAATGTAGTCAGGCACACTGACCCTGCAACAGCAGTCACATCACTACAAGAACATATCACAAAAATAGAAAAGTGGCTTCAAGTTAAACAAATTAAAGCAAACCCCGATAAATGCAACCACATTACATTCACACTGCAAAAACAGATACCTCCAAACATTATACTGGATGATAATTTTATTGTTTTTTTCCATAGATTTCTTAGTTAAAGGACTGGAAAACTATATTTTTTAAATAAAAAGTGCTGAGAATACTTTTATCAT